GTGGCTAGGAAGCCCTTCCGAGCGTGTGTGAGACAGTAGGGGAGGAGGAGAGGGTGGTGGTGACAGTAATAACAGCTAACTCGTTCTGAGCGTTTCCATACACCAAGCATTATCCTCCCAACAACCCTACCAAGTAGGCAGTACTGTCCCCTCCTCACAAATGGAGCAAGTGGAGTTTATCTAAGTAGCCCAAGGTCTGAATTCCAACCTAGCTGTGACCCCAAACCTGAGTCCATAACCACTAAAAACGTGATTAAAGCTTAGAAACATTGCTTCTACTCTTAACTCACTTGTTATTTTTTAGCCAAAAGTGGGACATGAAGTCAGCATGCACTGTATCACTTGGGTGTGGGGCCACGGCACCAAGCACCCTGGCTGGCATCCTGGCCTCCTTCCTACAAGGCCAGCAGACTGCTCTCTCCAACACTACCACAGAGAGCACAGGACGTGGAATCCGAAGCTCCAGAAAACACACTAAAAATATACACACAAGGCCTTTGGAACAAAGGCAGAACTGCAGCCCTGGCCCTGGCACTGGGGGATTGTGTCATATACCGAACCGGTCACCTCATCTCTCTGAGCCCGCAGATCCATCCATTAAATAAGGATGATGGCCTTACCTCTTCACACCCAGCCTTGTTCCAAGGATTTGAGGCAGCTAATAACACCTACTTCACTGAGCGGGGTCAGAATGAAATAGAATTTTATCAGCTATCTATGACAACAGCACTTGTTAAGAGGGAGTCCCCATAAAGTGCCCAGCACGGTGCCTGGCTCACGGTGGGCTGGAAGTAAATGTGTCCCTGCCCCCTTGCCCTGGCTCGTGCACACATCCTCCCAGGCCTCCCGCCACGCCTTCCCCGGGGCTCCCAGGCCAGAGCCAGCACCACACTCTCATCCAGTTCCCAGTGCATTGCGGTCCCCTCCCCACAGCTCTCTGTTCCTTTCAGGACTCACAGCTTCAGTGGAGGTGGGAAGGAAGCACGGAGGTGAGACCAGGAAAAAGGAGTTGAAACAATCCTAGCTTCCCCCACACTCCCCCAGAGCGTGCACAGGAAAAGTGCTTAGTTCACCAAAAGGCTTTTGTTACAGGGACCCCCCTGCAGAAGAGGGTTACGTCACTCAGTTCCAAGGCTCCTTCCCGAGCAGGAGGGGCAGGAGGACAGAGGCCTCAGCTGGGGTAGCCCCGTGTGTGACATCCCGCAGAAGGCAGAAGGATACTTGGAGTGGGGGGTGACATAGAGAGATCGGATAAGCATAGCTCTTCTCTTTTTCAGTCCTACAGTTTTCTTGTTTTGTTAACTCACAAGTTTTAGACAAGCATCATTTTCTAGAATGTCAGCATTCCAGATTCCACAGCCGACCGCGCCAAGGTAGGTAACCTCAGTATTCTCGTCCATCTGCTGGGGTAGTGGTAAACCATATCCCTTGAGGTGGCCGCGAGGGTTCAATGAAGCAAGCCATGTAAAAGATTTGGTGTATGGTAAGTGCTCCATCGTATTTAGTCTTTATTACTGGAACTAAAATAGACTTGTGCCAGCTTCAGAACCTGGCTGCCAGGTGGAATGCCACTGTTGGAGAATGTACAGGGTGGGGCAAAAGTAAGTCTACAGTTGTTCATGTGAAAAATAACACAATAATCAGTAAGTAATAATACAAGGTTAAACAGCGTTGCGCGTACTCACAACTCTAAACCTGCATTTGCCCCACCCTGTGTTCTAAAGCGCAAATCATGGGTTTACAATGAACTTTTGACCACTTGAGTTATTATGAAAATAAGAAATTACCATTCAACTCTTAATCAACAGGCAGTGTTAGAAAAAATTGCCTTTTTCTAAATCAATGCAAAAATGTGGGGTCAGTTATCCAAGATGGTGTTGCGATATGTATTATCCTTTTCTTCATCCAATGAGTCTAACGTGATCAATGTTTTTTGTTTGTTTGTTTGTTTGTTTCATATATGCCTCTCACAGCACCGTATCGAGGTTTCTTAGGTTTAGGCTTAGAATCTACTTCTCCCCACCAACCCCCCCCCACCCAAGACTATACTGCACATGTAAGTGGCATCGGGGATTTCATGCCGTGACAGCTAACAGCTGCTACTATGTGGCTGAAAGTCACACACATTTTTCAGTGGACTGCTGGGGTCCGAAAGGGGCACTTCTTCCAGCTGTCACCCAGTCAGAACCTTTGCAGGGGTCAAGCCGAGAGGCCCGAGTCGGGCAGGAAGGGGAAAGGTCAGGGTTCTTCTTGCTCAAAAATATCACCCCTATAATCTCACCAATCGCTTTCCAAGTCTACAAAGTTGTCCGAATACGTCATAGGAAAGGCTTCTGAAAAGATATGTTCTACGGTACAAACAACACTGCTTTTCCCTCGGTGGTGGGGTTATGGGGTGATTGGGATTTTCTACTTTTTAGTTTATCTGTATTTTCTAGTCTTTCTACAACGACAAGATGAAAGTTAATTTTGATTTTTTTTTTTTTAATCTTCACCTGAGAATATTTTTCTATTTCTCTTCAGATAAAGTGGGAGGGAGGGAGAGGGGGAAAGAGACAGAAAGAGAGAGAGAGAGAAAAAAAAAACATCAACATGAGAGAAACACATTGATCAGTTGCCTCCCGCACGACCCCAACCAGGGCAGGGGACAAGGGGACAAACTGCAACTGAGGTGGTGCCTTGACCGAAATCGAACCCGTGACTCATTGGTCCACGGGCCAGAGCTCTAACTGCTGAGCCAAACTGGCTAGGGCTTAATTTTTATTTTAAAAAGACCATTCTTGGAAGGATCAAATAAGTTATATTTGGTTAAGAATGACCTTAAAAATGGAAGAAAGCAAACCACGATGAGCTCTCTCTCCAGCCTCCACCAGCGGATAAACAGATAAACGAAATGTGGGACAGCAGGGAGGCGGAGGGCACCCAACGCGGGCGGTGCAGAGCCGAGCGATCAACCTGAACAGACTGGAGAAGCAGCTCGGGTCCTTGGCCCAGGCCTGGGTTCCCTGTCCCTGTCCTGCACTCGTCCAGGCATTTCACTGCTAACTCACCTGCAACGAGCTTATTCCCCAGGGCTCACCTCAGGCACTGGGAAAATACCGGCAGGAGAAAGGCAGAGCCAGGAATCAGAAACCGACGCCACCAAAATCTCACCCAGGGAGTTTGTTTGACTCTCTGTTGGTGCTGAAATCTGGGCCCTGGGCCCCACACCTGGATACTCTGAGTCCACAGGTGTAGAGATACCTAGGTAGGAATCCTGTACCCTTTAAATGTCTTCTCCATGTTCCTGAGCATGAACCAGGCAAAGGAACATGCGGACTACATAACAATACCTCTTAAAATATTTTTTGAAGGAAATAAGAGTAAACATTTTTAATTTTTTAAAAAATCTTTGGCTTTCACAGAAAGAGAATATGTAGAAACTGCTTAGTAATATGTCTTTATAATCCCTGGTATAGCTGCAAAACATATTTTTAGAAAAACAAAAAATATTAATGTCTCCACAACTTACCAATTCTCAGTTTTAGTCAGGTGGTCCAGTCAAGTCTTCAAAATTGTTCCTAAACCACTGCTCCTATATCACAGAATTTAAAAGCTGAAGGAGCCTTGGGTATTAGTTCGGTTCTCTCACCACAGACAAGAAGAAATGCCAGCCACAGAGATGAAGTCTTGCTCACCCAGTAAGTCGACCAGGATTAGAACCCAGATTCTAACTGTGCCCACAGTCCAGCCCTCTTTCTGCTGCGTCACGGAATATTTCGAAAGAACAGCTCGCACTGGGGTCTGCAGGTGCAGTGAAATGTATCTCTGCAGCTATCAAGGAATGACATCTAAACGATAGCTCCAACTGTGGCAGTTTAGGCCCATTCTAACAGGAAGGAATCTGCAGGTCACAAGACCAAAATCTACCAAGAACAAGTAACCTAGTTCCATAAGCCAAAATGAACCAACAAAAAGTGAAGCTGGAGGACGGAGACTTGCGTGGGAGCCCTCTGAGCGAGCTGAATATTCACAGGCCCAACCTTACATCCCTGTGAATTATGCAGGAGGTAGTTAGGGGTACCACTACAGCTGTTGCTGCCCCTGCAAAGATGTCATCATACTCAATCTCCAAGCTGATGTCACCTTGTACATCCTTTCCAGGACAGCCGTGCAACTGCACGAAGCTCTTCTTTGAACTCAAATGGAATGGGATATTGGCTTTGGGAGTTTTGAGGGTTGTCACAAGCATGATCAATAACAAGCCCTGCCCGTTTCCCCGTGGCTACACCCACCAGCAACTCCTGGGCCTGCCCAACTGACCCTGAAACTAGGAAGCCAGTTGTACCCTAGAGAGTGGCCATGTAGGACACAGGTGAATGGTGGTATTTTGATTCTAGGAGTGAGGACAGGTCACTTAGAGGAATTGAGCCGAGTTTATATGGAAATGTCGCTCAAAGACATTCTTGGTATAAGAGTGACATGTGGTACAACAGAAGCACAAGGTTTCAATCAAAAGACTGAAGTCTTACCCTGGCTGATTTGGCTCAGTGGTTAGAGTGCTGGCCCGCGGACCAAGGTCACGTACCTCGGTTGCGTCCCCAGCCCTGGTGGGAGTTGTGCAGGAGGTGACAAATCGATGTGTCTCCCCCCACCCCCACCCCCGCCATGCTCTCCCTCCCTTCCACACTATCTAAAAAATATCCTCAGGTGAGGATTAAAAAAAAAGAAAGATTGAAATCTTGTGTGCCGATTCTTCTCCTTCACCCTGCAAACTTGGTCAAACCAGTTAACTGCCCAGGTTCCCATTGACTCCCCTGTACAATGGAAGGAACACATGCTTTACTCTTCAGTTTCAGCTGAGCTCACATTTGTGAAAAACTATAAACTTTGCTCAACTCTCTCCTATATACGTGCAGGTCGTTATTGTTACTACACTGGTAGGGTTGAAGGAAGGGTGATAGTTACCCAAAAAACGTGTCCACCAAATACTAACAATAACTACTATTCATTGAACTTACCAAGAGCTTTGCCAAGTTCTGAAAATCTTCTTCTCCCAAATCCTATAAGGAAGGTATATTACTATTCCACTTACAGAGGGGGAAGGAAATAAATATTGGGCCATTTGCATAGGGCCCACAGCTAGTAAGCAGCAGGGCGGGATTCTGAACTTAGGCAGCTCAACAAGTCTACCAGACAAGCACTCTTCTTTTGTTTGTAACTCGGAAAATGGATGGACATCACATGCAAAGTTTGAAATGAATAATGGTGGTGGAGCTCTTTATGTTTGGGTTTGGGGGTGGGGAGATTCCTTTTTCCTGCAGTTCTAAATAGCTGTGGGAATCACTGCAAGCGGCTGTGTTCTCAGCTTCTGTTTATCCTCTCCTCTCTACAATGTAGCTAATTCTTTCCAGAACGCCTGTACCCGCACCGGCTGCCCGGATCCGCACTGTCTCACGTGCTCCAATGTTGCGCTTTCGTCAAATTGGCAACGGCTTATCCAACCTGCTCGATGAGAAGGAACGGGCTGCTTGTGTCTCAGATCATCGGAAGGAACAAGCAGCTTGTCTAGAAAGATACATACATACATGGTCTGTGCAAATTAGCTACAAAGTGCAGAATTTTTGCAAGAGGAAACACGGTCCGTATTTTTTAATCCACAGAAATATCTCCTGAGATAATGTACTTCTTTGTCCAAACAAGAAGCTCACAGGGAAGAATCTGTTTTCATACTCCCCTGCCCCCAAAAAATGATTTGTGTGAAATCAGCATCAGGAGCCACAATGGACACACACTGTAGGCACAGTCATTACCCCTCCCCCACCACCAGCAAGAGGGACAAGGGTGTTTATCATCAGAGGCTCGAGAGAGCCAGGCAGCCACCTGACTCACAAAGATTAGGAAAGGCCCCAGCACGGACTGAGCTGTTGGAGGAGAGCCTCCATCTTTCCCAGAATTCTCCTGATCTCAAGGCTTTCTCAACCATTGTCACCTTACAGAGAAGTGTGGCTTGCTGGCAGCAAAGAGTCTGAGGCCCCTTCTTGTGTCTCAGGTGTTTCATAAGCCAGCCCCACTCACCTACCTCTCACGTCTTACCACCACCACCACAACCACCACCACCACGCACTGCAACCTGACCAAACAACTGTCTCTCTTGATCACTGCTGTGTTGTCACAGTGCCTGGTACAGGATGCGCACACAGTGGTCATCTGCTGTACCTTGAATGCTTGCATTTCCTTAAATGAACCATGTTGCTTTCATCACCAGCTCTTGGTTCAAGTTACTCTCTCTGACTGAGTTGTCTTTCCCGCTCCTCTAACTAACTTCCTCTCTTTTGACAAGAAACAGCTTTAGAGTTCTCCTCACTTGGGAAATCATCTTTGACTCTCTCCCTGAGCTGGATTAGGGATACCAATTACCAAATAGATCCCAACTGTGATAGAGGAGAAATGGGACTTGGTTTTGCTTTAACAAGCACATCTGAATTTATATTCCAAATGAAGGTTCAACCCTTTAAAGAAGTCATTTGGTCCATTTTAAGAGCTCAGCTGGGTTTATGGTATTAGTAACCCTCTTAAAAGGCTAAGAAATACATTAAATTTCCCAGAGCATCTTCCCACTATGGGAGGCATCACTTTTCCTATCTCCCAGAGTTCTGAATGAACCAAAAACTCAAGACTGGAATGTATCTTGGAGATCAGCTCAACCCCTCCTTTTATAGATGTGGAAACGGAGGTCCAGAGAAAGTTGAGGTCATCCAAAGCTCAAGTAGGATGTCGGTGACACAGTTCAGACAAGACTTCAGCTCATCTTTAAGTCGATCACATACTCAAGACTCATCTTTTCATCTCACACTGAGAAAAAAAACAGTCCATGCCTCCCAATACCTACTTTAAATCTCATTCCATGTTTTGTTTGTTTGTTTTGCTTCACAAGTTATTAAAGAATAATATTATGCTGAAAATTTAAAGCAAAGGTGGAATGTTGTAAGAGCTCCAGATGGTTCTATCATAAGACATGGGGCTGTCCCCAGTGAACAAAGGCTGGTCCCAGGAGAACCAGTCATTAGTCCAGTGTTCCTTAAACATCATTTATGTACATATTGTTATCTCAATTTTTGTCATAATTGAATACCACTTTTACCATTATTTACTTATTTCTTTTCTTTAACTCACTTTTAACACACTTTTCCTTAACTCACTTTTTAAGGCATAAATATCTAGTTTAAGCTCAGTCTAAGCAAAATAAATCATTGCTAATCCAGTCACAGGTTTGGTATGTTATTATACTATTTTCCTAGCACATTTAAGAGGAATACATAACTATTAAAATAAAAACTATTCATGTGCCACTTAAAAGCACCCTGCTTACTACTACTGGCATGCATATAGCACAGTAAAAGATTGTACTTTTATCTAGAGCACAGCTGATTCCATCCAAAAGGGAATTGTTTCCTGGTAGTCTCGATAGAGTCTATCCAGCCTTCTGTAGGCACCTGTCTTATCTGAAATGCCAATCGGTAGTAGCACACGCAGACCCCAAACTCAAGCTTATCCTTACACTAATAGCCGACCTTATCAGCCACGAGATCACTATGCCCCCCACGCATTTGATCTGTCACTTTGTTTGAAAGAATCTTTACTCTAATGTTCTTCACTGACTATTAATAAATTACGAACAAACAGCAAAAATAATTACCCTTTCACCTAGAAAAACACTGGTGACTGCGACTTAATGGTCTACCAGTGACGTACGGCTTTCCCCAGCATAATGGATGCAAACGTGAAACAGGATACGGGTAAGTTATTTTCACACAAGCTGTCACTTGTCACACAAATTACATGGGCTTCTATTAGCTGCTTAATTCACAGATTTAAGAAAGACAAATTCTACTCAGTACCTGCATGATTTTCTGGATCTCCTGGGGAAGGCAGAACCAACCCACAAAGCCACCAAAGAATAAAGGCTGCGGGAACAGCACCTTTTCTGTGTGTGAAAATTCTGCTGCGTGGTGGAAATCGTGTTGGTCAGTCATCCAAGGACTCAGAAGTCTTCAGAGGAGGACAGGATAGTCTGAGATTATGAGAGAAGCCCAAATCTGGATGCCATCTCAGAACAGGAACTCAGCAAGTTGGCCAAGGGGTTTATGGATCTGCCAAGCCTGGGCAAGGTGAGGCCGGCGGGGTGCTGCTGGCGCCTTGCAAAGGCGAGGCTAAGGTCGGCTGCTTTCCGTCATCAATCTAGCCTGGACAGAGCCCGGAACGGTGCCTTCCACGCACATTCCTGAGGAGCAGTGGCTGGGGACGGAAAGCTGAGGAGCCTGTGTTGCCAGGGGCCCTGTGGCCTGAGGCTGCAGCTATTTGGACAGCTTTAGCCCAGGGCTCTTGTTAGCATTTTAGGAAACTAGCAGATGCTTTTGCTAACTGACCTGGTTTTGTTTACAGCTTACATCTTACTGTTGAGATATTTTACTTTGGCCTAATACTGGCCTAATACTAATAGCCAACATTGATCCGTCCTTAGCATGCACGAGGCAATGTTCTAAGCAGTTGCCATGTAACAACACATGCCAAATCATGAAAAGTTTGACCTGGAAGGAGCCCGAGCTACTGCAGTGGAAGGAACCCTGGCTTCATATCAGGAGAAATTAGTCCTTTGCCACCTATTAGCATTGAGTTAGTCTGTCTCTCCTGGGCCTCAGTGTTCTCATCCGGTAAGATGGTCAGAAAGGCTCTGGCCGGTTTGGCTCAGCGGTTAAAGCGTCAGCCTGCGGTCCAGAGAGACCCGGGTTCGGCTCCCGCTAAGGGCACGTACTTCGGTTGCAGTCTGTCCCCGGCCCTGGCTGGTCGTGCAGGTGGCAGCCACTCAATGTGTCCCTTCACGCTGATGTTTCTCTCTCTCTCTCTTCCTCTCTCCCTGCCACTCTTTCTGAATAAAAAATGGAAAAATGTCCTCGGGTGAGGATATAAAAAAAAAAAAAGAAAGGAGAGATGATGAATAGGTTTCTACGTGAAGGCCGACGCTGAGCCAGTGGACCTGTCTGGGACACCATGTTGAGCGGGAGTCTGAGCCAGCATGGGAAAGTGTCACAGTTCATTGGAATGTCTGCCACGGTGGGTACGGGCGCAGGAAGCAAGCATGTCACCCATTTGCCATCTCTGACTAAAGCGTCTCGAAGGTCCTTTCCTGATCAAAGAATTTGAATGCATGGTTCCAGCCCACTGTCTCACTAAGTGTAGCCTCTGTACAAATGGAAAAGAGAATAAGAATCAGCTTTGGAACCTTGGATACCTCATTTCTGTCATAAAGCATGTAGCCTTCAACAAGAATTTAATCTCCTTGAGTCTCAGTGTACTCATCTACAAAGTAAGGAAACAAATATTTAACCTTCGTAGTTGTCTTAAGGGTTAAATAAACGTGTAAAGCACGGAGCACAGCGCCTGGCACACTGCTGATGTTCAGGTGAGAAGAAGCTTCCACTGGTATTTTAATCATCATCATCACTAGGAGTCTACCGACCCCAAACTGGATTTACAACATGTTCTGACCTGTGATTTGTGACTTTAAAAACATACACTTACATGGAAGGCTTGATTACTATCTTTTTTTTTTTTTTTTAGGAATACACTTGAGCTCCTTTCCAAAGAAATATCATTTAGATGTTTTTATTATAGAAAATTCCCAAACTAGAGGATAGTATAATGAACTCCCATGGACCCATCACTAAGCTTCAAGAATTATCAATTCATGGCTACTCCTGTTTCTATATTACTACCCACTCACCCCTCTTCCAGACAACCTGTTTTTTTTTTTTTAAAGCAGATTCTAGATATATTATTTCACCTGTAAATCTATCACCAATCAATAAGAAACTGCTCATTCTCTGTAATCTTAAAAATATTTGCTTTAAAATGAATGAAATGGCAACAGTAAGGCGTAATTAGGAAATTATTTCCTCACACCTCTAATAAATATTCCATAGAGGTCACCAACAAGTGTATGTATTTTAAAAATAATAATAAGGGACCGGCTCAGGAGGCCACGTG